GGGAATAGTTAGGATTAGTCAAAAGAAAATGTCCGTGAAACAATAACAGAGTCTTAAATCTGCAATGAAGCAACAGCGAATGTTTACTGCACTGAGAGGACAAACAGCATGAGCTTGGGAGGGGAGTTCTGGGAACACGCTCCTTCCAGGAAAAGAGCTAATTGATGAAACTACAGATGCAGTGATAGGTACCAGGAACCAGGCACAGACGAGGAGGCAGCTCCATTATTTGTGCTTGCAGATCTCTGTGCAGCTCTGACTGCTGTCAGAGCACTTGCTTACCGAGCACGAGCTGACCTGTGAATGGCCATACAAAGCTAAGTGCGAGGCAGAGGTGATATCCCTTGTTTTCCTTTGTGTGGAAAAATAGATCTGGAAAGTTATGGCAAGTAACACCCTCAATTCCCAGAGCTTGGTTCATTATAGGGCACTGTATATTAGGCAGGTAACATCGATTGAGGCCACATCAGCATAATAAAGACCAGTGCTATGCAATACCATAATTACAGACTTTGTGGTATAGAAACATCATATTTAAAGACAACTGAGCGCAAGCACATTCTAACCCATTTGCAGCTTGTCCTTACAGATGGAAGCAATGCCTTCAGCTGGTTGAGGACACTAGGTAGCAAGAGCTGCTGTAATTTATAGACTTGGTGCAACACAGTGAAAAAACTGGACTGCTGGGTTTTTGCCAGATTCCAAGGTAACTCTTACTGCTTTTAAGAAATAAATCTTTGACCCATTCAGTTGCACTGGCACCAGCTATTTTGTGCTGAAAACATGACTTAGTGCATTATAAAAACTACTTATCTTTAAGGTGCTGGTGGCTTTTCTATTCCAGACACAGCCATTAACTCTTGATGAAAACCTCTTAGCTGCAGAGACATATCCCAAATGCTTCACCAAGCAACAGCAAGTGCACAGGCACAGGGAACACTGTCAGTACTAACAGTGACATAGTGCTGCCTTCACATGACTCGTCTGGGAGGGGACAGCCAGCTCCTGCTTGGAGACACCCACGTCGCCTTTGCCTAATCCCTCATAAAGTTTCCATAGCGGAGTGGAAGATGAGGAGTTGAGCTCTGCCTCTGAATAGGCACAAAGGACCTCTCCTAGGCTGCCCTCAGCAGGAGGTGAGCAGAGAAGGGGCAGCCAGAGTTCAGGGGTGTAATAGCTTGAAAAGATACGATAGAAACTTTGAGGAGATAACTAAGAGGCAATGTCATGTGTCCGTTTAAAGTACGATTGTAAGCTCTTCTAGGAACTGTGGTTGCCTTCAGATCTATGTAGTGCTTGGCTCAGCAGGACATCCACCCAACACGACGTCCAGTGCTGCGTCTGACCACATAGCATGCCTGATATGCAGCTTTTTGGGTGAGCAGGTAAGGTCCTTACGCTTTCCTTCTATACTTTTATGGATGGTTGTAGCCTTTTTGAATTCAGGCATAGTTGCTCTCTGCTGTCCATGCTCTATAAAGGTGGATTCAAGTGAAGTAAGGTCTACATCAGAAGATTCAAGCAGGAAGGGAAAAGCAAAACCAAGGAGCCGTGGTAGGCAGGCAGTCCGTGGCAGCAGATGTACCCTGTTAAGCAGCTCTACCTGCCAGCAGCAGGACGGGCCGGCTGGGGGCACAAGAAGAGTGCAAAGCAATGCAATAACTGGGTACAATTCGGGGAGAAGTGGGCACTTGCACAGCCTCAGCTTGGGACTGTGTGGGCAGCAGAAATGTAAGGAGTGAGCAGAGATGGGATATAAATAAGAATGTAACTGTTAAAACATGTAAAAATATGGCAGTTCTTTCTTTCTTATGGTGAGCATTTTAAAACATGACTTAGACAAACTAGCTTTTCTGATACCTGAAGTGGAAAAGTCAGTGAAAACAGATCTGTGACTTAATGAACAGTTGCTGAACAAATGAGGAAGTATGTAGAAAATTATAATAATAATAATAATAATAATAATAATAACAACAACTACTACTACTACTACTACTACTACTACTATTACTACTACAACTACAACAATGAAAACAACAACAACAATAATGATAGACTTCTTTGTTGACTAGTGTGTGTTTCTCCTTTAACATCAAGAAACTGATTGGAAAAACAGCTACCTTTACATTATGCTTGAGAATTTGGTTTGGGTCAAATTTTGTGTTAACTAATTTGAAATAACTGAAAAGCAGCTTTTTTTTTTTCTTTCAGCAACAGTTCTAGCTAAAATTTGGAAATAGCTGCAGGCAGCTGAGATCTTCACTGGTTGTTTCGGGGCTGTATAAGATGCCAACAGGACATCAGTGCCAAGCAGCTGAATGGCTTTTTTGTTTGCCGAAACAGCCATGGTTACACGAATGCTTTTTAAATATAGTTGGTGTATTTTGATTCAGAAAAAACATTATCCAACAGAAAAGTGGGTAATGAGATGTTGGGAAAAACCTAACTCATCAAAATGTATCTTGTGTTAATGTAAATGATGTACAAGTTTGTCCTGTAAGTGCGATTTAATAAAGGTACCATACTGAGATTTTTGGGAGAGGGAGGGTAAGCAGACATGGCAGTGCTGTTTGAACTGGAAGCCTTTGCCCATGCGAGACTTCTATCATAGTTTGATTATTTTAAAAGAACTATTACTAGGAATGTGATTGTAATTGTAACTCTTTCCTAAACTCACAGAACCTGAGACTCGATAAAGGCAACAGCTCTTTCTCCTCCTAGAAACTCAAAGCAGCGTTGTACATTCTGCTGTGCTCAGCACTCTTATCTCTTCGCATGCAAAGGCTCAGCAGGGTTTGACTCATCAGCCTCCCAGCAATCGCATCATAGTAACTGAGATCCCCCTTTTATGTCCACATCTCTAAGATCTAATGTTGCCTACTACAAGGTTCTCAGAGTAGAATATTCTCTTTAACCACAAAAAACTACGGCCAACACTATTTACTGACCTGTCCCAGCAGAATAATTTGATATTGGTGTTTGCAGCTTCCTGCTGGGTGACTGTGGAGAAGACAGGGAGGTGCACAGCAAAAGGGCAAAGGATACGGGTTATAACAAGGGGAACTCTGATTAGATACTGGGGGTGGGGGTGGAATACAGTGAAGGTAGTCAAGTACCGGAACAAATTTGCCACAGAAACTGTGGAATCTCCCTCCATCCAGATACTCCAAACAACCTGCTAAGAAAGCTGGGATGGAGCAAAGCCTCCAGAAGGAATGGATGATCCAAGTGAGAGCTCTAGATCTGGGGAGAGACCAGAAGCCCTAGGACACTGTGACTTCCTTACTACATTCTCATTTTCAGTAATAGCACCTTCGGGCATCTCTCACACTCATTTTTCTTTGGCCAAGGGTGAAAAAAGTTAATTTGTGGTTTTTTGGTGGTTTGGGTTAGGTTCTTTTTTAAGGCTGCTACCAAAAGTTAGCATTTCCCAGAGGAGTATATACAACCCTAGTGTTGAAATAGGGCGTTGGGAGTTTGGGCTCATGGTTTCAAGTTTCAAATTGCTTTTTGCTTGATTTTTTTTTTTCCCAGAACCATTTAACATCCATTTCTTCCACTAAAATCTGTAGTTTGGTACTTTTCTGTCCATGAATAAGCAAGAACCCATGCAGGAAGAAGGTGCCCGATTTTTCTGTCTGTCTCCCTTGACCTACATGCTAATGTGTAACATGGGGAGGCGGAGCTGGCAACAGCTGTAAATAAACAGAGTTGCATTTGTAAGAACGTACGCAGAAAGCTATCATTTTGAAGCTAAAGTATAACCTCCTGGCTAACAGGGAGACTTATTTTTGACAGTGTATTCCTCCTTTCTGAAACATTGCAAGAGGAGTACTCCCAAGAGGCTCGCTGCCATCATAAAGGTAATAGAATATCATCTTTGTAATGAACAGGTTTCCAACTGGTTTTCTTTCTGCCTTAGACAGGTGCCCTTTACCTTCTTTGTGTTTCCTTTGTTACCTTAGTTTGCCTGTGCTTGAATAGTCTTCCAGGAATGAAGAGCAAAATGGACTAAATTGTGCAATCCTCAGCAATCTGGCCTTCATATAGTTCAAATTTGTGTGTTTGTTCTTAAAGACTGGGTGAAACCAAGAAAACCTTAAGGAATGTTTTGTTAGCTTTTGCTAATTATAATTTACGGTAAGAGGGCAGCAATAGAAGAACAACTACACAATAATCCCTAGGACAGGCAGAGCATGTCCCGAAGTACAGAGATCTTGCCATGGCCATGGCCAGCAGTGAAACCCCAGCAGCTACTTAAACCTTGGCTTTGATTTTATATACATATATATCTATGGTTTTTAGCAAAACCAGCAACAAATGGTCAAGCCACAGCCAAATGCACATAGATTTATGACAGGTGGCCACTTGTCCATTTAGGTCTTTAAACCCTTAATTTGACCATAGTGGGATTCGAAGCAAAGATGATTTTCTCACTTGCCCATGTACCTTGTCGTCGTTGCAGTCTGTGCTGGCCTGGAGTTCCTACCGAGTGCAATGTATTCCTGGGCCAGATCAAGGCAGGCAGCTGTGCCACAACACACCAGTGCCACCATCAAAAGCTTTGGTTTTGGCTGTTCTCCCATTTTTCCTTGTTACACTTGCATCCCTGTTAGTCACAGAATCACAGAATCTCAGGAGTAGGAAGGGACCTCGAAAGCTCATCCAGTCCAACCCCTGCCAGAGCAGGATCACCAGACCAGGTCACACAAGAACGTGTCCAGGTTGGCCTTGAATGTCTCCAGAGAAGGAGACTCCACAACCTCTCTGGGCAGTCTTCTGGGACAACAGTAACTCATCAGGAAATAGAGGGATTTTTCTTCTCAAGAGCTCAGCTTTGCTCCATGGCCAATGTGAAGGACAGGACCGAACACAAAGAATAAATATGCCATAGTTTTGCAGATGAGCTTGAAGTTGAGGAGATTTACTGTTGTCAGCAGTATATTCTTCTATTCTCCAGCTGTGCAAGGTTCACTTACTGAGATCACCTCTTCTTTCAGATGAAAAAAGACTCTGGATACCCCACCATGGCTGAGCAGCAGAAGCAGGTAAAGGCTCAAGGTTGTCTTTCAAAGGATGTAGTATGGGGGTGCTTTAGAAGGCTGGATGTGTTAAATCATCTTCCAAGTAAAGTGACAGACACATCCATGCTCTGATCACTTCAGCACAAGTAGGAGCTCATCTTGTATCACTACAGCAGCATTTTCCCAGCAGTTTTTCCCTTCGAGTGGAGTGAAGCTACAGCACCGAGCGGTGAAGCTCCTGTTTTCTTTGCTTGCATGGCAGCAGACCACAACACTTGGCTGTAGCCAGCAGCTGTGACCCCTGACTGGGCCCAGCGCTCAGAGTGATCCTGCTAAACACCATGGTGTGCCCCAGTCTCTTTATGTTGCAGGCAGCAATCCTGTTCTGCACTTAAGGAATTTGCCAACTTACACAACCCCTTTAAGGACAAGATCTCAAGCAATCCATTGATTTGGAAACGAGTTTGGAAATTACTAATTACAACTAGTTTGGAAACTACTGGGCTGAAGCTGTTGGCATAAAGAGAAACAGGGTGTTAGCACTTGGACCTGATGAACAAGTTGTTGGTTTTTTTCCTATGTAAACTTCTCTGCTTCAGCTGTGTGAGATTCATTCATGTAATCACTTTGTCATGTGCAGTAAAAACACAGTCTCTAAACAAGACAATTTCTAGCCAAAAGGCTTTTAAAGTAGCTTAAATGCTGAGCTTTAGGACAGAGCAGCTATCTGAAAGCAGGACCTACACAGGTAAGTATTAGGAGTTACTAGGGTTTTTAAAATCCTTGGAGTTCTTCAGCTGGAAGATGCTAAAGAATCTGAAATACTATTTGGTCTATCTGAAAATCCTGCCATTTGTAAGACATCAGAGTTTTTCTTTGATACGTTCTTTTTTTTATCCCAAGAGAAACAAGGATTCGTAGGATCCAATTCTGTTACAAAGCTCTATGCTTTTCTGAGCTTTTGTAACCTCTTTTCTAAATATATAGATGGTGTTCCAGGGTCTAAAGACTGAGAAAGCTTTATCTCGTGTCAGCACACGAGGCATAACATGGATGCAATTGGAAGCATGAAACTGCTAAGAGAGCAAATCTTGAACCTGGAATCCAGCACGCGGTATCTCAAGCTGGAATAGGTGGCTTTTGCCAGCCTTGCATTTCTAGTTCAGCACACCCAGTGATGGCAGATGATTGCATTGCTTCTAATATAAACTCACAGGGTTCAAAAATATCAAACCGTATGGCAAGAGCCCGTTAAATTACTTCCTCCTCAGTTGCCAACTTGATTAAAAAAAAAAAGATAGGACCAATGATTGTTTGTTTTAATGAGGAAAGTTTCAGTGCTAATGAGCAAAGTTCTGTCCTGGGACAGATAAATAGTGCTGACAAGTCCTGGTCGCTGTTTAATGTTCTGTAGAGGCTTAAAGAAGCTCTCGGCACTGAAAGCCCCAGAGAGAGGGTTCCTCTATATTGCATTACCCTAAACACACCTGCACTCCACACTCATTAGGGAGCTGTCTTGCTTGTTTGTCCTCTCTGACAGGAGACAGGCAGCACAGCAGTGATGAATCATACTATTTTTACTCCAGTCTGTTTGTGCAGCACAACACCACGGTTAAAAAACAGGAAGGACAGAGTAACGAACAAGGCACTAGCTGGTTATTACACTGTGTTATTTTACAGTTGCCTTGATTTACAAACAAACACCAAACAAAAAACCTTTATCCTACAGATAAATATAATGCATATTCACCCAAGAAAACCCAGACTAAGATTGTAGAACTCCAGAACCAATTCCAACTTTGTCTGCTCTAAAAGACAAATAGTTAATTGCACATTTGTCATACACTGGCTAAACAACTTGGTTTTTTATATCTAAATGCTCAACCATATTGAATGCTGTTTTTTGGATATACTTATTCCTGGAATCAGAAGGTCTCACTAGTAGTTTTCTGACTCTCTTGCAGTTGCTTTGTGTAGTTATAATCCTTACTGTGATAACACAGTCCTGTTAACATCACAGCTGCCCTGGTGCTGTAAACAGGAATATTTCTTGGGTAAATAACATCTCTGTGATTGAGAGCAGGGATTTGGAGAAGTACTTTTGAGAAGCTGAGTGTTTTAGCTCCTTGTAATTGAGCCTATACAGATGGCACATGGTACCTACCAGACAAGTTGTGCTCTCAGTACCAGGGCTGAGTTGCAACTGTGATGGACTAAAGGCACATCAAAGAGAGTTGTGCAAGGAAAGGTAATATCCTGTATAAGCATCCCTTTTACATGGGGGAAAAAAATGGGGAGCTTCTGGGCATGTGAGACTGATTCAGAATTGGTCTTCAAATTAAAGAGGAAAGTTGAGAGGAGTGGTTCTGGATTAACTGGAGCTGTTGATCAGATCCTCTCAGCACAACAGCTCCTGGCTACTGCGGGGAGAAAGCACACTGCATACTGGGAGGGAGGAAAAGCTGAGTGAGGGAGGTGTTGAGACGGAGCACCATTCCTTACCCCCAGATCTTCCTTTCCTACTGCTCCGAGTTATCCAGAAGCCCCTTACATTACAGTCCTCCAGGTAACAAGACATGTGCCAAATATGAGGGAAAAATCCATGGTCCTTTCTCTCCCTTTGGTTATTCCAGAGAAATCCCATGGCAGTGACACTTCAGGTCTCTGCACGCATGGCAGATGGATGTGTATGTGTACTCCCCACTCAATTACACGCAGTATCCCATAACAGCTTTGTTATTATGTTCTTTAGAGAGTTTGTGAAACAAAACAGCCCAGCATAGGACTGCCCTGACCTCCTGCACTTCAAACACAGCAGATGCTCGTGCAGGACACAGCAGCAGATGCTCACTCTTGTTGCTTGCTCACAGGAAGAGAAGCTCTGGCATGCCATGAAGATCACTGCCTATGTCTTCAGCACAGGCCTGCTCGTATTCACTGCCCTAGCAAATGCTGTTTCTAGGTGAGTTTGAACAAAGGGGCTTGAGGAGAAACTTTTCTGCAGAGGGGGGATAAGGTTGATGAGGAAAAGGTGGGCAACCAAGAACATTTATCCCCACAGGTACACGCACAATATCTGGGACAATTCAGGCCATTTCTGGCAAACAACGTGGCTAAAGTTCTACCACCTGTGTGAGGGAGACGAATGGACAATTTTCTTCCTTGGTGAGTGACTCAGGTTCACAACCCTCTGCTGTGGGAGGAACTACCCACACACGACATCCAGAAGGGGGACACGGCCATACCTTCCCAAGCTCGCTAATGCTCCCGCTGAAAAGGCACATGTAGGCTGCAAAGCCATCCACAGCTGATGTAGCACAACTGTGCTGCCTTGGGACTGGTTTATCATTAGACCCCCTGCACCGATTACAAATTTGATCTTTTGCTGCTGCTGAAATGGCTTCCCTATGGAGATATTTTGCTCCTCTGAGAACTGTAGAACTCAGTAGAACTAATTACCAAAATTTAAAGTAACATTAGTGAATTTTACTCTTGTTGTAGCCCCTATAAAACTCTTTTCTCGATGATTAACAGCTGGTTCAGGCCTGGTAGGCATCTTGCAAGGTCTCAGGGATAACTCAACCTTATCCTACCTGTATTTAAAAACCACCCATGACAGAGATTCCCCAGCCTCCCAGAAAAGCCCTTTCTTAGCCTCAGTAGTGGCAAGTTTCAACCTCTGAGACACTCGTGTTCTCTAACCTCTTCGCCCTTCCCTAGGTCTTCCCTGGATGTCAGAACTTACCCATACTCCATTTTAAAGCATCTGCACCTGGCACATCCAGGTCCCAGCAAAGTCTGATTTGTTTCTGATTTAGCCATAGCTCTCAGTTCATTCACACATCTCTGCCCTTTCCTCACACCACAGGGGCTGCACTGGTTCCTGCCCTTGCTTTCTGGGGCTTCAACGGAATCTTCCTGGTGGCTGATGTAACTGGAAAGCCAACTTTCATTACTCGCTATCGGATTCAGCTGGGCAAGAACGATCCTGTAAGTATTTCTCACTCTGCCTCTTCTGCTGGCTAAACACTTCCTGCAGTCTCTCAGGCTAGGAGCAGGGAGAAGAACCTGTTATGCTTTCCTCTTGCAACCAGATAGGATTCAAGGACGATCAAGCTGAGTCTTGTATAACCGCTGCAGAGGGGAAGGCAGTTCTTGGAATTAGGCCACTGATCAGATCTGGATTGACTGCGTGTTAAAAAGTTGATCCCAAAACTAACACAGAAGCAGCCTGCAAATCTTAAAGCTCTTTATCCTCCCAACTCAAAGCCACATTGCTTCCGATTATGCCTCAAGTCCTGACTTCACTTTTGCAGGTGGACACACAGAAACTGCGCCAAGCCATCTACACAGCGCTGTTTAATCAGTTCTTTGTCTCCTTGCCCATGCTTGTGCCCATGTTCTACCTCATGAAATGGTGGGGCAACACCTTCACCAAGGAATTGCCCACCTTCCGCTGGTTTCTTGTGGAGCTAAGCGTCTTCACCTTAATAGAGGAAATTCTCTTCTACTATACACACAGGTGAGCTGAGCACAGGATCAGGTCTCTGTTTTTCCCCATGCCTTTAAGCTTATATCCATTTCTTGCAACAGTGATAGTCCTAGTCCTCCCTCTTTCACCTATCTTGTATTTATATGGGAAGACTTACAGGTCCTGAAATCCACCCTTACAACATGAGGCTTTGGTGCTGCAACGCTGCCAGTAACTACAGTAAGCAAAAAAATGGGTAAAATTACAAAGGTGGAGCAGCTTAGAAGCTAAGGAAGAAACAAAATAGGTAGCTTTGCACAAAAGCTGTGACCCAACATTCTTTGCAAAGAGGAGAACAAGAGTGACTGTCCTCAAGAGGTCAGTGAGTGATGTCCCGTTCACTCGTCCAGCACCCGCAGAACAGGGCTTGGCTCCTGACGCTGCAGGCTTTGACTGACACCACTGCTAGAGGAAAACACTAAAGCAAGAAAAAGGCCTGTGAGACTGTGCAGACACAAGTGCAGCATTCTCAGAAATACACAGGTTTCCCTTTTAAACAAATATACACAAAACCCCCCATGAAAAGCCATTTCTTACTAAGGGCACACAGAACCTAAAAATCCTGTCTCTTAACAGTTGTCAGCTGGTAAAGTCAAAACAGTGGAAGCATCAAGTGAGTCCTCCCCTGTGAGGTACTCCCAGGTTTGAGCAAATCAGTCACTCAGGGACTTCGATTTACAGGTTTTATCTGGACTTAACATCAGCCAGTAGGCACAGACGTTAAGTGAGGGCTCTGTGTTAAAAAGAGAAAGGGAAGCCAGGAATCCTACGCGCTCATTCCCAGCTGCTCTAAAAATCTTTATTTTAAAGAATGCAGGTGAGCAAGTCCCCAGCAGAAATTCTGTGTCGGGTTACTCAACATTCCCTTCTTACAGAGCCTAAAACCTCAGTTCCTCTCTTTTCTCTGCTTAGGCTTGTTCACCTCCCACTCCTGTATAAGCACATTCACAAGAAGCACCACGAGTGGACAGCCCCCATCGGCGTGGTCTCCATTTATGCTCACCCGGTGGAACACATAGTAAGTGGGTTCCCCCATGGGCACCCTCCAGTTCCTGCACTGAGTAGGATTTCCATGGGATGAGGAGTGGTAAGAGAAGAAACCTAAATGCGTCCTTAGACTCTTCTTTCTTGGGAAGAGGAGGCCAAGCTGCGTTGCCAGGGAGCTTGGCTGTGGACGGGTTGCAGTACCCTGTTATAGTGGACTCCACTGGCTTTAAGAGCACAGATCTGAGGGCCTCCAGCAGATGAGGAGATGACTGAGTGGTGCTCCCTTGAGCACAGAGAGGACTGGGAGCACAGACCAGGCTTTCAGCAGACGTGACACTTACACAGCCTGAGTTACTGCTCAGAATTCTGTCATCGTTTTCGTGCTGATGGCTGGGACCAGTGCTAGCAGGAGCATCTCCCAGTGCTGCTCCAGCCAAGACTTGTCTTGCAAACACATCCCACCTTCAGAAGTACTGTCTCCTGTTAACAGTAGTCCTGGGCTGCAGCACCAGCTCTGTCAGCCTCCCCCTCTGTGACCGACAGCCTCTGGGCAGCAGAATGACTTTTCCTATTCAAGAGTCCAGCTGAGCCTGGCTGGTGCAATAAACTCGGTCTGGGCAGTGACAGCCATTTGTGCCACTGGTGGGACACAGTGGAGTGATGCAGTCGGGGTCTGCACATGTCCCCAGGCCATGCCCTTCAGCAGCCAGGTTTCCCAAGAGCAGCTTCAGCATTAATCACCACCTACAACTACCTCAAGGGAGGTTGTAGAGAGGTGGGTGCTGGTCTCTTCTCCCAGGTGATGGAGGAGAGAACAAGGGGAAACGGCACCAAGCTGTGCCAAGGCAGGTTCAGGTTAGAGATAAGGAGGAAGTTCTTTACTGAGAGGGTCGTCAGAAGCTGGCACAGGCTGCCCAGGGAGGTGGTGGAGTCACCATCCCTGGATGTGTTTAAAGAGCGGGTAGATGAGGTACTTAAGGATATGGTTTAGGGGGTAGACAGGAGCAGTTGGACGTGATGATCTCAGAGGGCTTTTCCAACCGAGCCATTCTGTGATTCTGTGATTCCAAGGTGAGGCTGAATTTCAGCCCTCTGACTGCAGGGTCGTTTACTGCAGTCACGCTGCCCTCACACCCCCCGTTTGACCTCACGTCTAACTTCTACTACACGCTTAGAGAGCTTGGGCTGTGACTGTGTTTGCGGTTAGTAAAACTCAGTTAGCTTAGTAATTAATTCGTTGATGACTGTGTAATTTCAGTGAGGCAGGTGCCTCTTCCCTTTATGTTGTTTGCACAAAACTAACGCGATGCATCACCTCAGCGAAACAATTCAGCTCCTAGAGAAGAGTCTGCTCATTGTGGACCCACTAATGAAGTAGTTTGCTTTTCCTTCCTAGCTCTCCAACACGCTGCCTGTCATGACCGGCCCGATGATCATGGGGTCTCACATCGTTTCCATCTCAGCGTGGTTCTCCCTGGCTCTCATAACAACAAGCATTTCACACTGCGGCTACCACCTGCCCATCCTGCCCTCACCGGAGTTCCACGACTTCCACCACCTCAAGTACGTGCGGGCACTGCTCAGCCTCCCCTTCCCCTCCTGCCTGCGCCCTGGCACCTCTGACAAAGCTCCTTTCTGGGGGTCAAGTGGGTTTGTATAACCCACGTACAAGCAGAAAAGCCTGTCCGGTTGCCCCGTGGCAGGCTGAACGCTGTCAATTCTTCAAGCAGTTAAACAGAGCTCAGGATTTCAGAGGAGTCCAGCTCACTGCCAGGCACCTCACCAACATCCACCCTCCTCCATCAGCTGACTTGGAGACTTTCTCCAAAGCACAAACGCCGCGGCTGAGGCTGGGCGTTTCAAGATTCCGAAGATGGCATGGGAGGAGAGAAAGCACAGAGTGTCTGAAGCAGCAGGCACCAATCACCTGGACGTGGCCCAGCACAAGCACAGGGTCAGAGACAGTTCTCTGCAAGGCTCTTCCTAGAAGTTGAGCAGACCCTGCATGGGATCTAGAATAAAGACAAAGCAAGGGCAAACTGAAATAAATGCGCAGGGAGCCTCCCTGTCTGTCCCTCTCCCATACACTGGGATTAGTAACACTGATCAGATAACACCCTGCCCAAACAATTGCAATTAAGCCTTCCTGGCAGATTCCCAGCCTCCTCCTCCACTGGAGCAAGCAGAGTTGCAGCAGGCTGCTCAGGGATATATAACAGAGTGGGAGAAGAGATGTTCCCATCTCCCAGACTCATTTTGTAGACACATTCCCTTGACCACAGTGTGCCTCTCCTGCAGAAACAGCCACTATGACAGCCCTATCGCCACACAAGTGCTGGCCAACACCAGAGCCATGGTGCCAGTTCTTGTTATCGGTCCGTTCCTCCAAAGCTCCCCTGATGCCAGGACACGGATCACTGCAGAGCTGAGACGCTCAAATGGCTGTGCTGGCATCTGCGGTGCTGGGAGCACGGCCCGAGCTGTGCGGGAGAGACAGCTCCTTGTTCAGTGCCACCATTTCTGGGTGACGGTGGCACCAGAGAGGGAAGCTGCAGAAGTTTCACCCAGGCTTCGACAGAGCTGTAAGGGAGAGGGGGGCAGTGGTGGAAATCACATGGATTGTCAGGGCTCTCAAAGGAGATGGAAATGGGAAGGGAGAGGTAACCTCAGTAACTCTCTGTGATGTCTACTCTCTGGTTCCAGGTTCAACCAGTGCTATGGAGTCCTGGGAGTGCTGGATTACCTGCATGGCACAGACAGAGCGTTCAGACAAACCAAAGCCTACGAGAGGCACCGGGTCCTGCTCAGCCTCACGCCGCTCTCAGAAAGCATCCCCGAGGAACCCAAGAGGGCAGAGTGAGCCCAGCAGCCTGCCATTCCTGCAGAGCCCAGGGACCAGCACGGCCAGAGACAGTGATTTATGCCAAATAGTATTTTATTTGGGAAATAAGTTATTGTTCACACGTACCAAAACCCAAAGCCAAACTTAAACATGCTACTTGAAATGACTGCACTTTTGCTGCCTGTTATTTTCCACCTAATGCACAAAAAGACTGCTCAAGAAAGCTATTTTTAAACAAAGTTCAGAGGGTTTTTCCTTCCTTACTTGCACTGTCCCTTGGTTCTAGCTGCCTGTGCTGAGCCAGCCGTGTTCTGGGCCACGGGGCCTGCTGTTATTAAGGTTTTCACAGGCCACGCTTTGGCCTCTTTCAGCAGCACTCTACAGAAATGTCAGCAAATTGACCTTAACTACACAATAGGAATTAAAACCACCATTTCTGAGACTCAGAACACCTGGGATATGGGATGTAACCCCATAGAAAGTCAGTTTAGAAACACACTGCCCTACCCTTCCCCTGAGCAGTTTTTCTTCACACCAGGTCAGTCCAGGCCTGAACTGGGCTCTCCCATCCTCATCACTCCACACACCAACGTCTGCAGACACCAAGCGAGATTCCCCCTTGTGCAACAGCAAAGCAGAGCTGGGAGCTGATGTGCAGAAATCCTGGTACATCTCCTCCTCCTGCTCAGCCTCGCTCCTCCCCACACAAACCAAAACCCTGCAAGAAACTCCCGAAAGAGACTTTCCAGGGAAAGAAGAGCCCCTGCTGTCCTGAGCTGTGTGGAGACCAGCAGCACCCTGTAAGAAAGGACCCAACAAAACTCACCCGCACCTTCACACACCCACAAGTACCTGCACAACCCACCCCGAGACATGCTGAGTTTTCTCCAGGATCTTCTGAAGTCTCAGTCCTGTCTGGGGGCCTGGGATAAAGCACATCAGCCTCTCACCATTGCTCCACCATGCCCTCCGAGGGCTGAACCCAGCCCGTCCATCCACACACAGCCCCTGGGGAGGGCAGGGCAGCAGAACACAAAACCCAGGCTGCTTTGTCTTTTGAAGTTTTTATTTTTATACATTTTTTTTTGTATTAAAAAGGAAAAAGCATAATTACCACAAATTACAAAGGACTAAAGCATTACTAGAATAATGAATCACATCAGCCTAGAAAGCAGATACTCTGAATAATATTAATGTTATAATACAAGCTCTCATTCAAGTATTTTACATTTTTCTCTTTTCCTTTTATATGGGATGATGATCCTAGCACATGGGTCAAAGATTATGTCCTATCGACAGAAGATGGATCATGTACAGCGGGCCATATTAACAAGATTTTCCTCCCAAGTGATACATGGTCTGTGATGAGTCATTTTAACGTTTGTCTCTACGATAAATGCAGCTGAAGAAGGTTGCACACACTTTCTAGTTTTGGGAAACAGAAGGCTGAGGTTGGGACACACGGGGTTTGAGAAGGGCCAGCACATCAAACCATCACCCTTTTGGCTCCAGGCGAGCGAGCTGGAGGCCGCCCTCGCCGGGGCGCAGCTCAGCGGGGCTTTGCGAGCTGCAGATCCTAAGGTTTCCAATCCCAGTGGAGCGGGATGGGCTTGGAGAGGACGAGGGGGAGCGGGGCTGCACCAGTGGGGCCTGAGGGACCAAGTGGTACCAAGCACACCCTCCTGTGAGGGGCACCGTCCGCACCAGCCGGGCCCTGTATAGCGGGGGACGGGGGCTGGCCCCAGCGCACCCCACGCCGCTGGCTGGTGCCCAGGGGGCTCCCCGCTCCTCCGGGGCTCCCCACCGTGGGATGTGCTTGTCACAGATACATCGGTCCTATGTTCAAGTGTCTGCAGAAAGTGAAACTGTAAACTACTCATTGAAACGCTGCCCTCCAGCCACCCCCTCCGTGACAGAGATAAACATTGCCTTTAAAAAGAAAAGGTGATTCACCTATTATCTGCATTGGAAACTTTAAAAACAACAATAAAAGTAGAGTCAGTGAGGCATTTAACATCAAGTGTAGCAACCCTCTCTTAAAAAGAGCCTAGCATCCATTTGAGAACAGTGACAAAGTGACAGAACCAGTCTCAGAGGAGACAGGAGAGAAGAAGCATTGCAAACACAGCTTGCTACATTTACAGGTTTCCTTTTTTTTTCTTTTTTTTCTTTTTTTTCCTATTTTCCTTTTGAGAAAATAACTGGAAAGGCATCAAGAGCGAGAAGGCCCCCTCTGCGCTGCCATGCAGACCGCGCACGGACGCGCGGCAGGATACCGAGGTTCACACATCATTTCATACAGTACAGTCCACCGGTGCCACGCAAGGCGAGCGGTTGCCGAAACTCGAGGGACCCCAAGGGCTGCAGTGACCAGCTGCCATCAGGGGTGCCAGGGGGCAGCAGGAGCAGCGACAGACAGGCGAACGGAGCAGCAGAATTACTTCTTTTTTCCTTTTTTTTTTCCCCCCAAAAGGAGCATGGCAAAGCAACAAAGTCTCCTTCAAAACCATCTTCCGCCTCCAACTTCTGACCCCACACCAGAGCTCTGTGCCCATCGCAGCCGCCTGCATCCCAAAAATGAACGGGCTGACTTTGGCAAGGAGCCCTGGCTGCCACAGCCTGGGACCACCCGAGGAAAGGGGTGACATGGGGAGCGCTCCCCTACGCTGCCTGCAGGCCCCACGGCCTCCCCCAGCCCTTCCGAAAGCAGCCGGGGCTCCCTCTGGTTGTGCCAGCGGCTGGGCGAGCCAGGGGATGGATCAGCATTCACATGCCTGACCATTCAGACCACTAAAATTAAAAAAAAGCACAAAACGTGATTGCGGTGAAGCATCCGAGCTAAAAGTGAAGCCAAACTCCCTCCTCAGCAGGAGGACAAGAGCTTCCTCAAAAGCAAACCCCCTCTCTGGACAGCCGTGCCGCTGTCTGCTGGCAGGGCCAGCCGTGTGCGATGCCTTGTGCAGGCAGCAAGGGGCCGGCAGTGCCTCTGCAGACCCGTCCCTGTGTGAGCCAGGGGACAGCCCCTCCGCACTGGGCACGGGGTGCTGCTCCCTGCCCCCTGCCACCCCCTGCACCGTGAGCGGCAGAGAGCGGCAGT